GTCTCGGGGGCCATTCTGGGCATTCGGACCTCATTTGGAGTGTTTTCGAGGCGTCGAGGCCGCCCGAGGGAAAACGAATCTGCCCCCCCCACCCACCCACCCACTCCCCCGGGACCCCCCCCCCCCCCGGGGAAGGGATCGAAGGGAAGTGGCTTCCCTTCGACTCGATTACGACACTGCTAGATTTTTCTCTCGCTCACGAGCTTGAGAAGGAAGCTGCAGGGAAATGGGGCGACGGAGGCGACGACCGACGGAGACGACGACTCGAACAGCCAAGCCCCTCGCGCACGCCGACAGGGTCGGCGGATTTTAGGGGGGGAAACACACAGACACAATTAATCGTCGATTCCCCAGAAAATATGGGAAGATATGGGAAGTGGGGGGGGAAGACGAAGACCCAGAAAATATTGGAAAATATAGGGAATCCTGTTATTTGTGTTTGTGGGTCCCAGGGCCCCTTCAATGTTGGACGACGTGTTCCCCCGGCCGTCGCGGAATGCCTCTGGGGGGGCACTCGAGAGAGGACAAGGGGGCCTCTTGAGGCCCTCGGGGGCCTCTGAAGCTCTGAAGGGTCTCTTGGGGGCCTTCTGGGGCCTGATGACAGCTTCCTGGGGCCTCTTTGGGAGGTTGGGGCCCCTTGGGGGCATCTGGGGGTCGCCAAGGGACCTTGGCCTCCGGAGGCCGTGTTGGGGCCCTCCCTCTCTGGGCAGGCGTGGGCCTTCTGGGGCACGTCGGGGCCATCTCGGAGACCTGCGGGGCCGTCTGGGGGACATCTTTGAACTTGGACCGTGTCGGAGCCGTGCTGCGGGCCTCTCGGGTGCCTCTTGGGCCGTCTTGGGGCGACCCTGGCGCCTGTGGGCCGTCACTGGAGCGTCGGAAGCCCGACAGGGCGAGAACGCTGAGATTGTCCGACGCCTGCGGAAAATGAACGAATTTAGCCTCCTGGATGTCATCTTGCAGCCCTCCTGGGGCGTCTTCGGGACCTCCTGGGCCGTCGGAGGGGCATGCTGCGCAGTCTTGGGGCCATCTTTGGCCGTCTTGGAGGCGGCATGGGGCCGTCTTGGAGGCCATCTTGGCGGTCTTGGAGGCATCTGGCAGACCATGTTGGGCCATCTGGGCCGTCTTGGTGGTGTCAAGGGCTGTGCCTCCCACCTTCTGGGCGGCTTTCGAGGTGACCAGCGGGCTGGGCCAGAGGTCCGTGGGAACCTTCTTTAGGAAGGGCCAGAACATGTTGAAATCATGCACGCCACGCACCCCATGTGGCAAGCAACAGAGGGCGGCGGATCGAATACGTCTGAGGCGAATCACCGCCGCCACCTGCCTTTTGGCGGCTTCCCGTGCGGCCAAACTGTGGGCTGAAGTCTGGCCAAGCTATTGAACTATGTGTTCCCCTAGCCGTTGTGGAACACCTTGGGGGAAACTTGGAGAGGAAGAGCAAGGGGATGAGAGGGAGGAGAAGAAGGACGACGAAGAGGAGAAGGTGGAAGAGGAAGCCTCTTGAAGCCCTCTCGGGGCCTCCTGGGGGCCTCTTGGGGGCCCCTTGAGAGCCTCTGAGGAGCCTCCTGGGGCTTCTTGGGGGCCTCCTGTGGCCTCTTGGGGGACACTGTGGGCTTCTACGGGGCCTCTTGCATTCGGAGGCCATCTTGGGGCCTCCTGCGGGCAGTCGTGGGTCCCTCTTTGGGCGCTTGAGGGCCGTCTTGGAGGTCTATGAGGCCGTTTGGGGGCCCTCCTGGGCCGTGGACCGTCTTGGTGCCCCCTTGGGCCTTCTCGCGGGCCTCTTGGAGGCTTTTGGGGGCGTCTTGGAGCATCGAAAGCCCGGCACGGCGAGAACGCTGAAAGCATTGAAAGCCTAAAGAAAGTCAACGGGTGTAGCATCCTGGAAGTCCTCGTGGAGTCTTGGGGGGCCTCTTGGGCCCTCGGGAGGGCATCGTGGGCAGTCTTGGGACCATCGTTGGCCGTCGTGGAGGCGACTTGGGGCCGTCTTGGAGGCCACCCTGGGCCATTCTTAGCCGTCTTGGAGGCCCTAATCAGGGCAGTCCTGGGCGGGAAGACCCGCGACCCGGGGGTTTTCCGGATGGCCAGCGGGTTGGACCGAGAACCCACATTAAAAAATCAACAAGTTGAGCACGCCCTGTGGCAAGACCACAGAGGGCGGCGGATCCAGTGGCCCCGCTCCGCTGCGTGATCCAGGCGCGGCGGCGGAGCTCCATCGGCCGCAGAGAGTGCTGCGCTTGGGCGTGGACCGATCGTGTTGACTCTGGGCGAGGGCCAAGCCGTGGGCCAGCCTGAAGCCTGGATCGGGGAGCTCCATCGGCAGCAGCGAGTGCCGCGCTGGGGCGTGGACCAGTCGTGTTGGCTCGGGGCGGGGATCGAGCCGTGGGTCCGCCCGAAGCCTGGGTCGGGGAGGCCGCTCTAAGGAGAAGTACCTGGACAAGAGGGATCTCGCGAGGGAGCGAGCGGAGGCCCTGCCGGCCGGGCGGCTGAGGCCAGGGGCAGCGCGATGGGTTGGGGGGGAATGCAGTGGGGGCCCATGCCAAGAGACACCACCCCGCTTGCCTCCAGGGTGCCCCGAGGTTCGTGGGCTTCGATGGTCCTGCGATGGAGAGCGTGGCGCTCCCTCGCCAAAAGTCAATGGGCGCCCTGGGGTCTCAGGGCTGGGTTTCTTGTGGAAGGTTCCTCGTGGACTGGCCTCCACTGTAGGCTCCGGGGGGACACATCAACCCCCAAGTCGCCCACTGATCCCCGATGGGAGCCCGAAAGCCCACCCCGCCCAGGACCGTGCGGAGTCGCTATCAGGAGCGCATCGCCGACAAATCGGCGAGGCATCGCCGATTCGGGCTCGATGCCCCCCCCCCTGGGCTGTTCCTCCCCCGACGCTGCCCCTCATCAGGGAGGATCTGCTGCGCGCCATCGACCGCATGGAGCAGGCCTTCGACCAGAAGTACCTGAAGAGCTGGAGGCCGTTCGTGCTGGTCATGCTCGAGTGGTGCGGCCACGAAAGCGGCGGGTCTACGGGGGGGTCTTAATTTTTCTCGTCGTTTCGCCCCTCGCTCGTTTCCCTGCTCATCATCCTCCTCCTTCCTCCTCCTCATCCTCCTCCGTCCTCCTCCTCCTCCTCCTCCTCCTCCTCCTCCTCCTCCTCCTCCACCTCCTCCTCCTCCGTCTTCCTCCTCCGTCTTCCTCCTCCGTCCTCTTTCTCCTCCTCATCTTCCTCCCTCCTCCTCCTCCTCCTCCTCCTCCTCCTCTCCCCTCCTCCTCCTCCTCCCCCTCGCCTCCTCCTGATGGCACTGGCGCTCCTCCTCCTCCTCCTCCTCCTCCTCCTCCTCCTCCTCCTCCTGCTCCCCCTCCTACTCCTCTCCTAATCCGACTCCTACTTCTACTACTCGTCCTCCTCCTCCTCACCATCGTCATCGCGTAGCATCATCTCATCATCATCATCATCATCATCATCATCATCATCATCATCATCAATCTCATCACATCACATCATAATCATCACATTCTTCATCTTCCTCATCATCATCATCATCACCATCACCATCACCATCACCATCACCATCATCATCATCATCATCATCATCATCATCATCATCATCATCATCATCAGCAGCATAGTCAGCATAGTCAGCAGCAGCATCATCATCAGCAGCAGCAACCTTATCATCAGTATCATCATCAGAACCAGTATAATAATCAGCATCAGCATCATCATCAGCATCATCATCAGCAGCATCAGCCTCATCATCATCATCATCATCATCATCATCATCATCATCATCATCATCATCATCCCTTTTCTGCTCTCCCTCTTTCCTCATCCTCCTCCTCCTCACCTCCTCCTCCTCCTCCTCCTCCTCACCTCCTCCTCCTCCTCCTCCACCTCCTCCTCCTCCTCAAGCCTGCTCGCTGTGGTTGTGTGGTGAGCGGCCCAGGGTCTTTCCCGCCTCCCTGAAGAGCGACTGTCCACGGAGGCGCGCACCTCTGAACGCGGCCGGTCAAGATGTCTGCCGCCCGATCGACGCTCATCCTCGGCCCCCCCCACCCCCCCTTGGGCACCTCCTCCTCCAGCCCCCTCCTCCTCCTCCTCCTCCTCCTCCTCCCCCTCCTCCCCTCCTCCTCTGCCTCCTCTTCCTCCTGTTCCTCCTCCTGCTCCTCCCTCCTCTTCCCCTCCTCCTCCTCCTCCTCTTCCTCCTCTTCCTCCTGTTCACTCCTCCTGTTCCTCCTCCCTCCCTCCTCCTCCTCCTCCTCCTCCTCCTCCTCCTCCTCCTCCTCCTCCTCCTCCTCCTCCTCCTCCTCCTCCTCTTCCTCCTGTTCCTCCTCCTGCTCCTCCTGTCCTCCTCCTGCTCCTCCTCTCCTCCTCCCCCTCCTCCTCCCCCTCCTCCTCTGCCTCCTCTTCCTTCTGCTCCTCCTCCTGCTCCTCCTCCTCCTCCTCCTCCTCTTCCTCCTCCCCGTCCCACGAGCTCGTGAGAGTGCTTCCGGCGGACCCCCAGTTGGCCTCCGAGCCGGGAGCCCCGAAGGAGCCCGGCGCCCAAGGGGCGTCCAGGGAGGCGGGGGGCCCCACCTCTCGAGGTCCGACGTCGCGGAAGCAGATCCGCATCGCGAAAAGTCGCGACCCGAGCCCCAGCCCCCAGCTTCCGGCGGCGCACGTGTCGAGCCGGACCGAGCCGCGGCGGGCCCAGAAGGGGGGCGGAAGACCGCCCAGACCTCGGTCTCGGTGAATCGAGCCTCCGTCGGCGATCGCAGGCATGGATCAAGGGGGCGTGGGTTAGCGACGGGTCCCGCTTCCATGGGAGACCGCGGATCTCCGCCGCCGAGCGAGGCGGCACCGGCCGCATTCTGTGGGGAGGGCACCCCCCCCCGAACCGTGGATCTGTGGCGACCGCGCGCCGCCTCCGTGGATGGCTACTCCATGCCTGCGCGCCCGCGACCTCGGGGTCCGCCCCTGACCGACCAGGTCGAGCCGGTCGAAGCAGCAGTGGAGCTCCGCCGCCGCCATCGCGAGGGCCAGGGAGGCCATCGGCAGCGGTGCCGGCAGCATCGCGGACGTGCCGACGCCCCTCGCCCAGGCGCGGGCGGGGGCAGGAGTGAAGAGTGAAGTCGGGCATGTCCCTCTACAGGAGGAATGGCTCAAAAGTGGTCCAAAAAGAAGTTGTCTGGGGACGACTTCTGGGTGAATTGGTGAGCATGTGTTCCTTGTTGTGTTTGACTTGTCGCCCACAACCCCGCCTGTAGGAGGGCGTGCCCGACCTGCGGCAAGAGCGCATTGCGCCTCTGCCTGCTCCCCCGGCAGAGGTTCAGGGGCCACGCCAGCGGGGGGGGGGCAGGCTCAAGGGGGGGGGGGCCATCGACCTGGAATCGGCGACACATCGCCGATAGATCGGCCGTAGCCAGGCGATCGCAAACGTGGATCAAGGGGGCGTGGATTCGCGACGGGTCCCGCTTCCATAGGACATCGCGGATCTCCGCCGCCGAGCGAGGCGGCACCGGCCGCATGTTGGGGGGGGCACCTCCCCCGACCCATGCGTTTGGCGATGGCGGGCCAAATCCATGGATCGCTAATCCATGTTCGCGCGCCCCCGAGATAGGCTCCCAGAACGGCAGGTTCGCGTCGTGTCGACCGGCAGCGACCCCAGCGCGTGCGTTTGGAGTTGAACGCCGTCGCTGAACGATCCGGGGCCATTGGAACGGCCGATCGTTCAAGTTTGAGCGATCCACACGGTGTCAGGAACCAACGCCGGGGTCGACACGACGCGAACCTGCCGTACCGACTCCGCACGCTCTTGGGTGGGTTGGGCTATCGGGCCCCTCTCGGCGGAGAATGGGCGACTGGGGGTCGATACATCTGGCCCAGAGCCTGCCCTAGGGGAACAACAAGTGACATAAACATAAAAATTCGGAGGTCCGCGCGGATTTCTCGGATCGGCGCTGGGGCCCCCCGGCGGCGCCTCCGGCGCCGCCCCTGGCGCGCTCAGCGCGCCAGGGAGGGGGTTCCAGCACCGATCCGAGAAATCCGCGCGGACCTCCGAGTTTTCATGTTTATGTCACGTGTTGTTCCCCTATGGCCCCCCCTGGCGTCGTCCCCTGACCCCCTGCCAGAGGAGCAGGCTGGGCCCCGGGGCAGCGCCAAGGTCGGGGGTGGACAGACCTCCTACCCTGACACGTCGATTAGTGAATTGTCTGTTTTCGGTTCTCCAGAGAGCGCCGCGGCCGCCATTTTCCAGGCCTGCGCCCGCCAGGTTTGGGCCCGAGGTCGTTTTCACTAAACCACAATTTACAGTCGGGGCCCTGAAGAAGGAACCCTTTCCGTTGGGGAGGGGCGCCGCGTTCCTTAAGTGTTTCGCAGCTTGCCTCAGGTGTTCCTTGTGTTTTCGATCGGAAATCGAAGCTTAACTTATAGAAAAGAGGGGCCTCGTTCCTTCTTTTGGGTTCCTTAGGTCAACGCCCCCACTGTACTCAAGGGGGGTCTGTCCATCCCCGATAAGGGGGGACAGGCGCAGGGGGGGACGCATCGGCCCCCCCGTCGCCCCCTCGTCGCCGATAGGGGCCCGGCGGCCCGCCCCCGCCCGGGGCTGCGCGGGGTGCGCCAACATCGGGGGCCCGCCGCCGAGCCGTCGGCGAGGTACACCGCCCGTTCCGGGTCGACGCTTCCCCCCCCCGGAGCTGGTCGCCCGAGGAAGGTAGGTTGCCCCTCGAGAGGAGAGGGGCGGGAAGGAGGGAGAGGCCCGACTTTTCAGCCCAGGGGCAGCGCCAAGGGGGGGACGGGCGCAGAGGGGGGACATATCGGCCCCCCGGCCGCCCCCTCGTCGCCGATAATTAGGGGCGCGACGGCCCGCCCCAGCCCGGGGCCTGCGCGGGGTGCGCCATCGGGGGCCCGTCGCCGAGCAGTCGGCGAGGTGCCGTGAGCGGCTCGAGTAAGGAACACTTACGTTTCAAAAGGGGCTCGGTCGTTCCTTAGATGTTACACGCGTCATTCACAGTTCTTTAACTGCGTTCTCCAATATTGATCGTTCCTCATGCGTTATTCTTTGGGATACACAGGGGCTTCGTTCCTTATTTGTCGTTCCTTAGGTCAGGCCGATGACTGTACCGCCGGTTCCAGGTCGATGGTTCCCCCCCGGAGTTGCACGAACGGCATGGGCACGGAAAGAGTGGGTACAGTGCCCAACAGCGGATATGGTTCATTTTGAGCAGGATCCGCTGTCCACGCCGCCGCGGCCTGTGTCCATCTGAGACAGAAGGCCGCCTGCCCAACAGCGGCCGCTGTCGGTTTGGGACAACATTTGTTGTTGGGCATTGTACCCATTCTTTCCGTACCCATTTCGGGCGTCCAAACCTGAGCTGGTCGCCCCCGGAACGTTGCCCCTCAAGAGGAGAGGGGCGGAAAGGAGGGACAGGGCCCGTCGTCTTCGCGCCGTGAAAGACAAGGATCCCGGCGCGAGGCTTGCGGCTGCGTGGGGCCTTCGCGGAGGCTCTCGCCGGGCCGCCGGATTGTCAAAAGCCAAAAAATGAAGCACTCGTCCCTAGGGAGGGGTCCTGGCCTCTGGGGAGCCACGCTGTGATGAGAAACCAACGTCGGACGTCTGGGAGGGGTGGGCGGGATGGGCCTGAGAGGCTGGAGAGGCGAAGAGGAGGGGGGGAGCAAAAGAGGAGAGGAAGAGGAGGAGGAGGAAGCAAGGACGAGCGGGAAGGGAAGGAAAAAGGGAAGCTGCGGCAGTAGCAGGAAGAGGAACAGGAAGAGGAGGTGGAGGAGGAGGAGGAGGAGGAGGAGGAGGAGGAGGTGGAGAGGATCCAGGCATGAACCCCGAGAGGCCTCTTCCCGAGCAGACCGCAAGAGGAAGCTGGAGCCGAGGGCGGCGCCGAGCGCGGAGCCGAAGGCGGAGTCGACGGCGGAGCCGAGACCGGAGCCGGAGCCGAAGCTGCAGCGAGGCCTCTCCGGGTCGCTGGCGCACTGGCTGCGGCCCGCCGGTGGCGGGGCTCTCGAGCAGACTGCCGCGCCCCCCCGCCCGTCTCCTCCGAGGCCCAGGAGCCCCGTCTTCCTCATCATCCCCATGCTCTTCCTCCTGGTATTTTCCCCCTCCCCCTCCCCGTCCATCCTCCGTTCCTCGGGCTGACCCCAAAGGGGGTCCAGCGACAAGGGGGTGGTGCAATAGATCTGCTGCAATAGATTTGTGGGGTTGCAATACATTTGGGGCGTGCAATACATGTCGGGCCACACATGTATTGCTGGACTTTCACGTGTAATACATTACTTGCAATACAATGCAACACAACACTCTGGCGCAACTCATTTGCAACACAATTGCCCGAAATCTATTGCACCACCCCCTTTCAGCTGGACCCCCTTTGGGGTCACCCGGAGTTTCTCCCCACCTCCGCTTCCTCATGCTCTTTTTCAAGCCCCTTCAGCCTCATACTCCTCCTCCCACATTTCCTCATACACCTCTACCGTCTCCCCCTCATCCTCCTTCGCCGCCTCCTCCTCATCCTCCTTCTCCTTCTCCTCTTCCTCCTGTCTCTCCTCTTTCCCCTCCCCTCTCGACCGTCCCTTTTCCTTTACAAGGAAACCTTCCTCGTCTGCCTACCAGACGCGTCGGTGGGGCGGCGTTTTGCTTCAGAGCTGCTCACGACCTGGGACCCTGAGGTTGGAAACTTCGGATTGATTCACGTAGCGGGGCGGATGGTGTTCAAAACATCGGGTTGTCTTCTGTGCAACACACATTGGTTTCACAAGTCATGCAGCTATGCGGATGGCGGGGGCTGGTGTTCAATGTTGTTCTCGCCTCAGCGCCGTGCGTATACGCTCTTAAAGCTCTCAACAACTACCCGTACGGAGGCGGCTTCTTTTCGAAGTGAGGTTATCGAGTGAGTTCTCTTGTGGTTCGTCTAAGACTCCTGCGGCAAATCACCGCCGCCCCCTGCCCCTGAGAAAGGCGTGCGGCTGATGTGGAGCGGGCCCTCTTGCCTGTCTTAGGATTATCCAACCGACTTCAGCCTTGTTCACCAGACAGAATTTCGAGCGCACCCCAAAACTCGAAGGTTTCCACGCGTCGGGCCCTGGGAGACACTGCTTCGACACTCTCTCGACACCCTTTCGACACCTGTCTGGGAGCTCGAAAGTCTTTGGGGGATGTGGCCCTGAAGTGCGATGGGAGCAGCACACTCTTAGGACCGTCGTGGGCCGTGCGCGCTGCCCTCGTGGCCGCCCCCTGCGGGCGCCCGCAGGGGGCGGCCACACGGCGGGCCGTGCTGGAGGCCCGTGGCCGCCCGGGGGCCGGAGGGCGCCCGTGACGCTGGGGCGTCCTTGGGGCCCTCGGGAGCCGGCTGGAGCCTGGAGCAGCCCTCCCCCGACCCTCCTCCGTGCTCGCTCCCCTGCAGCTCCTCCCGCCCCTCCCCTGCTGGAGGAGGGGGAGGGAGGCGCCTCGGGCCGGACCGGCCGAGGCCCCTGCTCCTCCTCCCCCGAGCAAGAGGGCGAGCGGGCGTGGTGCGAGGGGGGCCCCTCCTCTTCGGGGGGGCACGGGGCCGGCCCACCCCGTCCTGCCTCTCCTCTCGTTCCCCCCTCTGGGCCGCAGGCCGTGGTGCTGGGGCTCTCGGAGCCTGGCGGCGCTGAAGTCAGCCATCCATCTAGCCCTCTGTCCAGAGGGAGCATGTGCCTCGAGAGCGCCTGTGCGGGCGTGCTTTTGACAGAGAGGCGTCGTGGGTTTCTCCTCCCCTTCCCCCGCCCTGCTCCTGCGAGCCAGGCGGATGAAGTGCTGCAGGCGGTTGCGTCCTCGGGCCCACCATCTGTGACACACCAGTCCCGGCGCCGCTGGCAGCCCTCTCTGGCTGCGTGCCGCGGGGCCCGCGGGGGCCTGGGCCTCCATGGGGAGCGAACCGCCTCTCTCGCGCGGCCGCCGGCGCCGCCTGCTGCCTCTCTCTCCTGCGACTGCAGGCGAGACTTGGGCCGGCGCCGAGCGTGCCGTTCTGATCTGCGTCCCGTGGCGACGTCAGGGCCCCGTGGGACCCCCAGCCCGGGGGGCAGCTCGGCACCCGCTGCGCCCGGCACGTGCGGGGCCCCTCCCGCCTGCCGCCTTTCCCCCCCGCGTCAGCCAGGTGCCACGTCCCTCCGCCCGTCGACGGTGTGGGCTGCAGGAGAGGGGGGGAGCGGGGCAGGAGAGGGCGGGGCTGTGCCGCACAGGCTTCCCGCTGCAGCCTGCTGGACCGCCGGCGGGGCAGAGACCAGCCCCGGCCGCGAGCGGAGTCAGCATGCCAGCAGCCGACAGAGGAGGCGCTCCCAGGGGCGGTCGAGCCCCCCGTTCCTGAGAGGGGCCGCCACGGGGAGCACGTGCCCACGAGTGATGTGTCGGCCATTCTGGCAGTGACCCCCCCTCCCCGGAACGGTTGCGATGATAATCGTGCGTGGTGGTCCTTCGCCGCCCCGTCTCTCGTTGAGCTTGCCGGGTGCGACGATTGTTGTCCCCTCTCTTTCAAGAAGGGCTGGACCAGCCATGTTGGACTCTTTTTGCGCTTGAGCTGCAGAGCCGATCCCGCGGCCCGCGAGTGACCGCTCACCCTTCGAGGACCTCCCCGCCGCCTGCACTGTATGCGCTGTCCTTGCGCAGCTGTGCCTGCTGCTGCCATCCCGCCGCTGCAGTTCAGAGTTCGGCCCGCCGAGCTCGTGTTCCGCGCCGGCGCTGGCCACTTCCCCCTTCCTTCCTCGTGTGCAGAGCTCACAAGATCTAGGCGCCCTGTTTCTGCCTGTTAGCTGAATTCCAGCTGATTCAAAATGAAGAGGGATTGGAGCTCGGGGATTGGGGGGGGATTCGGTTTCTCGCAAGACCTTGGCACCCGTTCTGTCCGCTGGCTGAGTACCAGCTGCTGCCACACAGGTCGAGAGCCTCATCAGAGTCGCAATCCAAAAATCCCCCGCTGCCCGCTCCCCGCACATCCCCCGATGCGAGTTGTTCCATCCGCGGCCCGAGAGTTCCCGAATCGGGAATTGTGTGCCGCGGAGAAAGAGAAGAGGAGTGATAGGAAGCAGGTTTTCTCACATCGCGAGCTTGTCAAGTTCGACGCGCCCCTTGCAGAAGGCAGGCTGCGGGACGTTGCCAGGTGCGTCCGTCATCAAACCGGCTGGCCTGCTACAGTGCCGTTTTTTATACATGCTCCGCGTGCGGATCATGTACCAAAAATGCAGGGATCTGGTACTAAAAAAAACAAGGATGAGTTCATGCATAAATGTATGCATGCATTGATCATGTGCTCAAAATCCGATATGTTCAAAAATCCCATGTATTAAAAATTGCCCTGTACGCTCAAGGAGGGACAGGACGCAGGGAGAGAACTTGTGGCAGAAATGCCCATATCTCCCCACGCCCTCCCCCGCCCTGCCGAAACCGCTCCTGGCTTTCCTGGGCCTCTCCCCTGTCCTCCAAGCCCTCCCCCTTGCAGTCCCGACCCCTTCTCCGGGGGCAGTCTTGCCTCTCAGACCCCTTTTCTGGCGGCCCCAGGGCCCGGCAACCCTGGACTGGCGAGAATCATCCCTTGGGGATGGTAAGGTTCGGAATCCAGGCGGGTTGATTCATGGTGCTATGCATGAGATGAAGATCGGAGCTACGATAGGAACTTTGGAGGGGATAGGAAAGCTGGGCCTCCCCACGCGTTGTGGCAATGGAGCCACATTCAATCCCGTGGATAAAGGGATACAAGGGTTCAGGGGGGAATGCTTTCTTATCCCCCGGTCGCGGTTGACGGACCCCAGAGGCCGAAACGAAGGAAGCACGCCGGAGATCTGACGTTGCGCAGAAAGTCACGACCAGAGCCTTAGACCCCATCTGTCTGCAGCACTTGTCGAACCCAGGCCTACCTCCGAGGGGCCCGGGGCCCGAACGCGGGCGCAAACGCCCAGTGCCACAAATCATGCTTTGCAGTGACCGCTGGACCCAAACATCCGGCTTCTCGACTTGTTCGAGACCTCTCGACCCCTTCCATGGGACCACCTGTTCCTCTTGACATGTGCTCGCGCCTCCGAAGCCAAGTATGGGCCCCGGAGGGCCGAAAACGGTGAAAAACCTTTGTCCCGATCTCCTGGAGACGCCAGAGGTCTGGTGAGCTCGGGGCCCCTGCTCGCGCCTTCGCCCGTGCCCCGGGGCGCCGCCCCTGCGGCCTCTCGGGCGGGGTCCGAGGAGACGGGGCTGGAAGATCGCGCCGCATCTCCGACGCGTGAGGCGATGCGGCTCGCTGCGGGGCCAGATATTATCACGCCGACGGCGCCGATACGTCGCCGGCGTCACCGGTGCACCGCCGATACATCGGCGATGCGTCGACGATGCGGCGCGAGCTTGCGGCCCCATCTACTCGGACCCCGTTTGGGAGACCTCCTCCGCCGTCGGAGATCTGGATCCCCGCTCGCGCCCTCCGCAGACCCCCGACGTCATGACGTGTTCATACCGTCGACCCCCAGAAATCTCGACACACTCTTCGAGGACCGCGTTTCATCCCAAGTCGTTTTTTGACGTTCCCGAGGCCTGGCGAGGGCCCCGAGAGGCCGAAAACGGTTCGGGGTCGGCAACTGGAGCGGAGCAGCCAAAGACATGCGTTCCTGGAGACCTATGACCCCAGACCCCCGACGTCATGACTTATTCATCACGCCGGACCCAGAAGTCTCGGCCCACTCCCTGGGGCCTGTGTTTCATCCATAGCGCGTTTTCCAGCGCTCCCGAGGCCCGGCAAGGGCCCCCAGAGGCCGGTGAGGGCCCCCAGGGCCCCCATCGCTCGAGGGGGTCTGGGTCCCCCCCCTCCGCAGGCCGAAAACAGCGACGAACCTTTCGTCGCGATGTCTGTCGTGACTCGTCGGGGGCCTGGGATGCGGAAGCCCTCCCTCGTCGGAGGTCTGGGCCTGTGCTCGCGCCCTCGCCTCCACTCAGGAGGCCGACCTGCAGAGTTCGGTTGCCCCAAACCGGCTGTCCCGTCGACCCTACGGCAGAAAC